AGGCCAAAACAGAGGTTCAGAGAGGCTGGGTTACTTGTCCAGAGCGGCACAGCTAACAGGATTCAAATCAGGGTCTGTTCAAGTTCTTACCTACCACATTTTACTGACTTTCTTAAGCAGTACATGCCAGTACTGTCACTTCTTGAAAAATCTGGTTAGTTCCGATATGAGGTGTTTGGCTGCAGAATAACTAATCGATCTATGAAAGGCAGTCTCAGAATAAGTGATGGGTCCCCTGAGAGCCTTGGCTGGAGGTCCATCTTTGAAGATGGATGGAGAGAGGGTGAGATGAACCTTTTGTCCACAGCTGTCGCCTGACTCCTCCTCCTGGGGGCACATGCAGCCAAGAGACACTCCTGTTGTGTCCACTGAGGCTGTCCCCTGCCCTGGCTCCGAGTGGCTTTCGCGTTAGTAACGTGTATGGATCTCTCTGTTTGACACGGCGATGGCTTGTCCCAGGCAGCCTTTAGGCTCTCAGATGTCCATGTGTTCCCAGTGTCCTTTCTCCTTTGGAGAAAGTCTGGAAGGGCTCGATGGAAGAAGCTTCCAGAGAAGGAGGCCCAGTGAGAAAGAGGAGGGAGGAGTGGGCTGGCGATTTGGAGTCAGCTGTGGAGCCGGTGGCCTGGCCGAGCACAGAGTGGGGACCAGACGGCACGTCCTCACCGGGCAGCTAAGAGGACAGGCTTAGGAGCCAGTCAGCACAGATCTGACCCCGTGTCTGGACTTTTCAACACCAGTTGGGGTTAGCAACATACTCCCGCCTCCTAGGCTTGTGATGCGGATTAAAAGAGTAAGGTATATAGGGCATTTGGCAGAGCTTGGCACATAATGGGTCTTGAATAATGGCGGGGATCGTGACCATTTTGTTGTCTGGGTTGTCATTCACAGAATCATACCGTGGTTAGGAGCACAGCCTCTGAAGCCAGATTGCCTAGATTCGAATATCGGCTCTGTCCCTTAGGAGCTGGGTGACCCTGAGCAAATTATTTAAACTCTCTGTGCCTGGATTCTGTCATCTGTAAATAGAGAGAATAATACGCACTTTAGAGCAACTTGGGTGTAGATTAAATAAGCGGATATATACAAAATGCAACAGGTACAAATTGTTCGATGTTGGCTATTTTTATTGTTACTGTGATTATTATAATTATTTAGTCAGGGGAAGTGATCGCCTGGAAAGAATTTTGGAGACAATAGTAGCAGGAAGCTAATGCTCAACAAATATTATCTTTGTAGGACTGTAAGGGCACAGACGTCTTTAGGGAGGGACCGTGCGGGTTGTTTATCTTATTTTATTTACTAATCATCTGTTTTTGTGTGGGCGTGTGGCAGAAGAAAGAGCACTGGGCTTGAGGTTCAGACACGCCTCGTTTCAGAACCCGGAAGCGGGTGGCCTTGGACGAGTCACATCATGCCTTAAGCCTCAGTCTCCTCATCTGTAAAATGGGGATGGTAATACTATGAACCTCTGGGGGCTGTTGTGAAGACTAAGTAAAGACAATGTTCGCTGCCATCTAAGGGCTCCAGAAATTGTAGGTAATATTCCAGTGCTGTTACTGAGTGCAGAGCCTGTCACGTGTCGGTGAGGTGATTCAGACACTGTGTCACTAATGGGACACCTTCTACTCTGCCATGATCTGCTGAGCTCTTGCAACGCACCAGGCACTTTTCTAGGCAAGGGGGCCGCTGCGAACAAGATACCAAAAAGTTCCGCCCTCGTGGAGCCGAGTGTGCTGGAAGTTCCATTAGCGTCATCCGTAGGGGGTCTGAGGAACGGAAGGAAAAAAAGACATGAGCATACTCCCCCCCTATTTGCTGGGGGGTGGGCTGGTCTAAGGGTGTCCAAGAGAGGGAACTCAGAGAGGGGTCCTCCTGGACCCGGAGCCTGAATGAATGTGGGAGGAGACCAGAATCTGTCCCCACGCCCTGAATAAGAGCTCCAAACCCCTGGGATTATAGATAAAACGTTAGGCAAAACTTATGTGCAAAAAGCCTTGACTTCGAGGGAGTCACAGAGGCCTTGCCTTCAGCACTTGTAGACCCAAATCCTCTAATGCCTAGATCTGCAGGTTGAGGGCTGTGAGGCCAGGGACGGAGGGAACTTGGGTTTCTTACTTCAGTGGAAACCAAAAGCACAGAATTGGGCAGCTGACAAAACTGTGTCTCTGTCCTGACTGGCACTATCTGTGTGACTTCAGGTGGCTGCTTCTCCTCCCTGGGCCCCGGTTTCCGGAAGGCAGGTGATGGTTCCTCCCCCGGGGCTGTAAGTTTGAGGATTAATTGTGGTACTTTCCGTGTGAAAACCTCAAGAGAATGGAAGCCAAGAGAACCCTTTTTCCAGGACCCGAGGTCCAATACCCACCCTCACCTCTCTGTGGTCTTTCCTTTCCTAAGAGAGCCAGCTCAGAGGCCCCCTCCCCTCTCTGGCCTCTCGCTGGCCCGGCTCCTTATTTTCACTTGACTGATGACAGCCCACAGCATTCGTTGACCATTTTCTTCGTTTGTTAGCTGACTCCTCTCCAGGTGGCCAGGTCAACAGGATGAACAGCTGCCTCCCTGCTCAGTTTCCCAAAACAGAAGGCTGGCCTGACCCCCAAAACTCAGCAGGCATCCAGTGGGGAACCGGACAGCAGGCACTGAACGGGAGGACCACTGAACGAGACCTGGGTGACACGGTCCCGTTCTGGTTGCTACCGTGGGCTCCCAAGTCCCACTGGCTCAGGTTCCCGTCCTCAGCCAGCTGTGCGGCCCAGGGTAGGAGGCTTTACTTCTCTGAACCATGATGATTCAGCGAGTTCATAAATAAAAGTGCTAAGTACAGAGCCTGGTTACACAGTCAGTGCTCAGTACGCGTGAGCGGTGACTACGATGATAAGAGGCAGGACGGCAGAGGGGTTAAGAGTCAAAGTGCTGAGGTTCGCATCCCAGCTCCACCGCTTAACAGAGACTGTACACACGGACGAGTCACGCCATCCCACTGAGCCTTGGTTTCCTCGTCTGTCGAATGGGGATAATAAAAGTCCCTTCCTTGAAGGGTGTTCGGGAGGATTAGATGAGTTAATATACATAAATTTAACGTGCTTAGAACAGAACCTGGCACGTGGAAAGTGCCAGATAAATGCTAATAACGGATACTTCTGTTTTCTAGCTGCGCCCCCTCCCTCTCCTCCAGAGGACCTCAATAGTGCAAGCATCCTCGAAATGAGAAGGTGGAGGAGACCACTGAGGTTGTGTTCTCCATTTCCTCCCCAGGCTCCGTGGGATTGTGGAAGGGAGGCCTGGAGAGGAAGGAGAAGGAGGGTCTTCCAGAACATTCTCGCCTGCAGACTCATCCATAAATAAACACAGCCCCTCAGCATATTAACACACCACGCACTCACCACTCCACCCACTCAGATCCACACACGAACTCACTGGGGATCAAGCAGCCCCCACCCCGTCCCACCCAGGCAGAAACCTCACCCCCACCCCAGCCCAGGTCCCAGGCCCGGCCAGCTTTTCCCTCTGTGTCATGCAGTCAGTCACCCTCCCCATGCTGGCTCCAAACGCAGCCGGCCCCACCCCAGCAGTAATTATAGAGAAAGCCGAGGCTTCTGTGCCCAGCTGTGACGTCAGCCTGAAGCTTTCAGCCTCATGATCTTACCTCGAGTCAAGTGGGGACCTAGTCACTCCGATGTGTGTGTGTGGCAGGGGGGGTCTGAGTCAGTCAGCTCAGCATGGAGCTGAGATTCAGAACAAGCCACGATCCCTCCCAGGCCCTGCGGCCCCATAGCTGTGTGCAGGGGCCGAACTGCCTTCATTTCCTCACCTGAAAAGAGGGGTGGCGATAACACCCACCCCTATTCATGAGATAATGTCTACAACGGGCTCACTGCAATGGCAGGTACACGGAAGGCAGTTAAAGGACGGTGATTGTTGTCATTCTCCATATTATTATTTTTAGCAAACTGCCTCATGCGGCCACTGCTTAACATCAAAACGATTTCTCAGCCCATGACTCACCGAATTCCTGCGCACCCCCACACCACCCCACCCCACGAGGAAGGTAGGGCTGGGACCCTGACGCCCACAGAGGGAGAATGGCATGCCCCAAATTGCCCACCTCTTGGAGACAGATGAAAGATTGGAACCCAAGCTCATGGAGGCTTTAGGTCAAAGCCCCTGGGCAAGCCCCATGGGAAGAAGGGCAAGGAAGTGGAGAACAGGCCCCCGCCCGGCCTCACGTGCCAGACCAGACCCCTGGCCTGGTCACCGTACCTTTTGATAATTATCGTTATTATCAGTCATAATAATAACCATAGAAGCTACCCGTTGGTTAACAGGTCCTATGGCAGCTGGCTCATCTGTCAGAGGGGACAAAACTAGTACCCTTACATCTCAGCACCGACGGCGAAGCGAGTTAATATTGGTGAAGCACTTAGAACCGGCCTGGCAGGCAGCGAGCGTTGTATAATCGAGGACGCCAAGAATGCCAGTCTGCTAAGTGCTTAGCTGTGATTGCCTCACGTATTCCTCGTGACACATCCACACGCAGGCCGCTATCAGGTCCATTTTACAGGTGGGAAAATGGACAGCTCAGAGATGCCCTGGGAATAATGTGACTGCCCTCAGAGGATCACGAAGGCCAGCTCTGAGAGCTTATAAGTGGAGACTGCAACCCAGGGCCATCTAGATGCCTTCAAAGTCACAGAGCTCCGGGCCCTGTCCTCCCCTTCTGCCGGTGGCCACAGGGGGAGGCAGGCTGCAGCATGCTGTGGGGAAGGTATTTGCAGAGGGTGACCTGAGCTTTCAGCCAGGCAGAGGGTTATTAATAGCCGGGCCCTAGTAGCCTGCTGGGGGCGGGTTCTGG